GTGTTCATTCTGGATGTCAACATAGTGATTCTTGCTTTATGAATTCCTAATTTAGTGTCTTTTGGTTATGACTTTCTTTAAAATATTCTGACAGAGGCTATATGTTAGCCTTTTATTTCATGACCACTTTAAATGATTGTAAAAATGCAAAAATGTTTTTTTTTTTTTTAAAAATAGTTCTGATTTCATTTAAGTCTGTTTAAAAAAAGGAGAATAATAAAGATGTATGTAGCTTCCGTAAATTAGAAATAAGGCAGCTTTTCTGCAGTCATCTGGGAGACAAGTATATCAATTTTATCTCTATCCTTCTGCATTATTAAGAACAAACTTACTTTCCACTGTCTGACCTTGGTTGCTGTGCATTGCATGAACATTAAGATAGCTATAAAGGGCCAAATTCCACTTTTAAAAATAGTGGGTAGTGTTAAGCTGTTATCTTCTGAACAGCTTTAAACCTTGCCTTTCAGCATAGCCTTCTGGGGACCTGGCTGCGCGGAGTTCCGGGCTGGCAGCTGTTTGTATTTTACTGTGCTGGGCCCCGAGGGGCACCCATTCGCCTCGCTTCACAGCGTACCTTCAGGGCGCACCACTGCGCCCGTGGCAAAAAAAGCAATTTCACATTCTCTCAGACTAGAGATGCTTTATCTTAAATTAAAAAATTTATATACTTAATCCCTCGGTATATTAAAATTTAGTTGGGTTCTCAACGTGTTTTTGTCCTCTAACAGTCAAGGGTAGGATTTTTTTTTTTTCTTTTTAATCCAACAGCTTGAAAATAACATTTGTGTGTATGTGGGAGTTCTCAGCAGAGTTAGTAGCAATTGTAGCTGAGGAGTAAGGAGGAGGGGGGAACAATACAGCTTATCCCTTGCTGGTTTGTGGAACCTCTTTAGACATGACTCCTCCATTCTGAACACTTCTAGAGGGGAGCAGAGCCATCTGTTTTCATTCTGAACAAAACACATGCTAGAAGGTCTCGTAAAGAGAAATAATTTGTAATCCAGTTAATGATGACTTGCATATTAATAACACTTAATTTAAAACCTTTTCTAACATAAAATATGATTCAAAGGATATTTTTTGAGCATTAGTGTATTAAATCTATTCCTGTGTGTAAGCCACTGTTGAAATAAACTACAGGGCTGTTGAAAACCTGCAGGTTTCTTCTGTGTTGTATGTGAATGTGTGCAAATTACCGGGGTAGTAACTTATGCTTTGTACATTCTAGTGCATCTAAATTTAAAGGATACATGAGGATTACAAATGTTCATACTGATGCACCTTCAGCAGCTTTTGATAACGGAGGATTTATTTGGTTTGTAACTTAGACAATACTTTTTTTTTTAACGACAGGATTAAGTTACCCTTATTTATATAATGATGATAGTGTTATCTTCAGAATTACTTTCGTAAGGAGAATAAAATGTATTGCCTCTTTCATATAACTTTTGAGGATTCCTAGCTTTTTTTTAAAAAAAAGCAGCATTTTAAACTACGTATGAAAAGCAGTTCTCCTTAGAAAATGTATTTTCGTAGTGGCTGCGTTGCAGCTTTGGGTATCTCCATTGCAGTGATGGAGGTGAGTATTATTTCGTTAACCTATATTGGCATTTGCTGGAACTCATCTGTGTTCTGGCAGATTCTGCAGGACGTGCTGGTCTCTGCTGCCAAGTGATCTCTAATATTCAAAAGAAATGTGAGCTGGTAGAAACGAGAGTAGCCTTTTGTGTCATTCTGTGTCATCTGGTTTGGTAGCAGGAGGATGCATTGGCACAACAAGCCTTTGAAGAAGCTCGGCGAAGAACTCGTGAATTCGAGGATAGAGACAGGTCTCATCGGGAGGAAATGGAGGTGAGGGTTTCACAGCTGCTGTCAGTAACTGGTTAGTACTTTCCCAACACTTTAGATTATTTCCATTTGTTTGTCTGTTTGTACAATGTTGTGTGTTTTCTGTTCGCTGTTTGATGTTGTATAAAAATTGCAAGATGCATTGTTTTTAACTCTTGTAAAATGAATTTCAAGTCTTTGAAGTTTTGATAAGAATTCTCTGGTTTTACCTTTTTTCCTTTCTGTAGATGGCCTTTGCTGCGGGTACTTAAGCTGCAAAGGATGCATTTGTTCACAGAGCTACCATCGCTCTCTCAAAGGATACTGTAATAGCAGAGAGGGATCTTTTGACCCATACATTTCTCAGGAAAGGCTTTGGAAGCTGTGGACACATAATTTTGCAGTGTGCTATCCCGTGTTGTGGGAAACATTACTACTGAATTCAGTCAGTCGCCACTGTCTGCTTTCTTGTACAGGCTAGTTTTGTTTTCCTCTCGTCTTTCTCTTGCTAGCAAGGAGTTTTACTCCTCTACTCTGTTTTGCTGGTGTTGTTCCCCCTACCTTGTGCTTTGCTGCTTTAGGGCCCCACAGTCTTGAATCTTTTTCTTTCTTGATGAGAGCAGAAATTAGTGGGATCAAGAAAAGAGGAGCCAGAAAAGGGAATGGAAACCAGCTGCTCCGAGATGTCCTCTTACAGCTCTTGCCTTTCTGATGAGAAATACATAAGGGGAGTTGGCACGTTAAGGCAGGCTGTAGGTCAGGAGAAGAATAGGGAGAAAATGAACACTGTGAATTTCTTCCCCTTACTAACCCTGTAACTTTCACCAGTACAGTCTGACTTGGCTGTGATCAGTCTGCTGCTGCTCAGATTTTTAGAAAATGTAATTATTGTTATTGCTAAGCTATTTTTCTTCTGGCATCCTCATGATAGAGATGATTAGACAGACTTTGCTTCCAAGTACGACTGGAAGACACTGAGCATGAAGATTAGAGGGAGAAGGCAGATGGGGAGAGTATCTCCCCCATGAAGGGATGGCTGGTGTGTGTCTTCTTACAGACCCTGATGTAGCAGGTCGGATGTCAGCTGTAGCAAAAGTGGAGGCCTCGCTGCCATGGGATCCTTGGAGCGACAGCCGGTTTACCTGAACCGTTCTGTCTGTCGCAGCATAGCTGGAACTGCTTGTAAGCTCAGCTGAAAAGGAAGGTAGAGTTAACTTAAAGCTGTTCATGAAGATCTGTGGCAGCCTGCCCTAATTTTAACAACACAGTAGGATCTTTAAGCCCGGCCATATGTCCTTGACCCCAATTTACTTCAATCTTTTCTTGATTTATTTTCCTTTACTGTGCGCTTCTTCCCCACTCCTGTTACGACAGTGAAGCAGCCGTGTGCTTGCTGCATACCGAAGGTTTTAAAAGAATGATGCTTCCTGAAATGAATTCTGGAGTTCTGAGAGACTTGCTCTTTCCTCCAGGTGTAGAAAACACTTATTTGCAGCTAGGATACACAAAAACTCTTTCAATTAACAGTGAGATTGAGGTAGTGTTGGGCATCTGGGGCTTCAGATGACAAGAGACATCAAAACTTGTGACACTGACACACAAAAAGCAACATCCGTGGCCAGCTGCAGGAGTTGGATTCAATAACTTCTGAAAAGACTCTAGCTTTTAATAAGATAGCAGGCAGTTGTTACAAAATGCTGTCCTTATTAGCTGCTAGTACCGATTTTCTCATATAACAACAATAGTCATTGTCCCAGCTCTAAAGCACTGGCATAGATCACCTACAGAAAGGAAGAAAAGGAAAAATTACTGACTTAAAATGCGTTTAAGCAGAACAAAAATCGTTGTTGAAAGGTACTTTGAATTTGTGTGATGTCATATACTGGTTGTTAATAATTGCAATATATTTTGTTATACATAGTTTATTTTTTATTTTACTGTATATGTTTAATATGTAAGACCAAGAGATCTTTGCCTAATTACTTGCAGTTCTATAATTGCTTTTTACATTTCAGTTTTCATTTGTGTGTTTGGATGAAGACGTCCTGGCCGCATACCTAGAATGTTTACAGATGAGCTTTTGCGCTCTGGGTCTTAGGACTGCGTAAAAATCGGGATGATCTGGGGCAGCGCGGGGGGGAGAGTGGCGATAGACTCCCAGTGCATTTCAAGGGAGGAATCGGGTTTCCAAACCATGCGTTGTTTCCCTGGCTTTCACTTCAGTGATGTTCTAGTGCAGCATTCAGGCAGAATCAAATGAGCTGTAATCGGTAAGCACTTAGCTAAGGTGCTCGTGCTCATCGTACAGAATTCTGAATAGGAAGTAAGGCATAAATGCGCATTCCCATGGTGGCTGTGTTTATGGCCTCGCTTGGATTTTCCAAGGCTCGTATGCTTGGTCAGCTGAGAAACACGGTTTGTCAGTGGTATCCTTCTGACGCTTGCGTTGCTGACAGCTATAAAAGCACTAGTCCAAACCATATTGCATTCTGTTTGTGTTTCTATGTGTGTTACACTGCACACGGAGGGAGATTCCCTCAGCATACTCTTTTTGATACGGTATTTACAGCTCTCATCGTTACTAAAACTTAAAATTTGTCTTTCCTGCTAAGTTTGGCACAGACAGTAAAACTCAGAATTGCCAGACCTGGAGCAGGATCTCATCAGTGTTAATGACTGTTTCAGGAATTGCAACACTGTATAAAATCAGGGTATTTCAGACATTAGAATTACAGCTGAAATGCCTTTAATAGAGACCAGATTCTGCTTCAGTGAAGGAGGGAAGGGGAATCCTGCAATATTCTAACTGCTCCTACCCATAACAGAGGCGCCAGCTCTTTGGAAACATTTATCCATCCAAAGCCTGGCAGCATATGAAAATGATCAGATTCAGTTCTTTATTTGTACAGCTTTCTGTGTAGAAAAGATTCCCTATTCTCAGTCTCTCAGTGGACTTTTAAAACAGAGTGGGTCAACAAAGGCTGTTGAAAATGGTTAATATGGCCTGTATGTGGCAGCTGGATATTGGAATGGTGATAGTTTGAAGGTGGGGGGGAACAGCAAGTGCAGGAACAATTTAGGAATAATCGCTATTCTAATTTTCACTTTAAATTATTCTAAAAAAAAACAACCAATAAAAAAAAAAAAACCACCGCACAGGACCGCGTCCAGGCGGGTCTGGAATATCTCCAGAGAAGGAGACTCCACAGCCTCCCTGGGCAGCCTGGGCCAGGGCTCCGTCACCCTCAGAGGGAAGAAGTTCTTCCTCATGTTCAGCTGGAACTTCCTCTGCTTCAGTTTGTGCCTGTTGCCCCTTGTCCTGTTGCTGGGCACCACTGGAAAGAGTCTGGCCCCGTCCTCCAGACGCTCCCCCTGCAGATATTTGGAGGCATTTCTAAGGTCCCCTCTCAGCCTTCTCTTCTCCAGGCTGAACAAGCCCAGCTCCCTCAGCCTCTCCTTGTAGGGGAGAGATGCTCCAGTCCCCTCATCATCCTCATAGCCCTAAGGTTTGGTTGCCGTCCATTCATCACGTAGTATCCCTTCTGTTGATGACTTCGTTAGCACAACAGATCTTTATTTTAATGAACGTATTCTTTGCGTCTGAGGGCAGAATCCATAGTGGTTGCTAGGTTGTGCTTGAATTCCCAGAAATGATAATATTTTTGTGCGATTACAGCATTCCTCTGATACAAATAGGATGTGAGTGGATTTAGGAGTTTTCATTGAAGTTTTTAAGTGCGTCTTAGTTGAACTGTGTTCTGTTTTTTTTTAACATAATTTCAGTTTTGAATACAAGACACTTTGGGGTTTTTCTGTCAATTTATGTAGCTTGGTCACATCAGGTACTGCAAATTCTGCCTTGCTGTTTCGGATTCTTTTGTTTCGAAGATGCATTTGAAGTCAGTGAGTGGTTTTAATTAATGCCTTCAAAATTAGTAATGTATTCCAATGGCTCTCACCTTTCCCAAACATTGGAACGCTGAGATGGTAAATGTTTAATGATACATGTGAAGAAAGACCTTATCCCTACTTAAAGGCTATTGTAAAAATAAATGATTGTATGAAGCTTCATAAGTTTAGGAACTCTGAGCTACTTGGCAGACTTGCGCTTTTTAATGGCTTTGTACCAGTCGAAGGCAAAGCTCTCTTTCCATGAGCCAGCACTGCATGGTGGGGAGCTTGGGCCAGGGCCGGCCAGGCCAGGTGCAAGGTCCTGCACATGGCCAGGGCAACCCCAAACACAAGCACAGGCTGCGCAGAGAGTGGCTCGAGGGCAGCCCTGAGGAGAAGGACTTGGGGGTACTGGTGGATGAGAAGCTCAACACGAGCCGGCAGTGTGTGCTTGCAGCCCAGAAAGCCAACTGTACCCTGGGCTGCATCAGGAGAAGCGTGGCCAGCAGGGCGAGGCACTCCGCTCTCGTGAGACCCCCCTGGAGTCCTGTGTCCAGCCCTGGAGCCCCCAACATAAGCAGGACATGGATGTGTTGGAGCGGGGCCAGAGGAGGGCCACGAAGATGATCCGAGGGCTGGAGTACCTCTCCTACGAGGACAGGCTGAGGGAGCTGGGGCTGTTCAGCCTGGAGCAGAGAAGGCTCCGGGGTGACCTTAGAGCAGCTGCCAGTGCCTGAAGGGGCTACAGGAAGGATGGAGAGGGGCTTTTCACAAGGGGGTGTAGTGACAGGACAAGGGGGAACGGCTCTAAGCTAAAAGAGGGCAGATTTAGATTAGATATTGGGAAGAAATTCTTCACCATGAGGGTGGTGAAACACTCGCCTGAAGAAGAGAAGGCTCCGGGGGGACCTTAGAGCAGCTGCCAGTGCCTGGAGGGGCTACAGGAAGGATCAGGAAGGATGGAGAGGGGCTTTTCACAAGGGGCTGTAGTGATAGGACAAGGGGGAAGGGCTCTAAGCTAAAAGAGGGCAGATTTAGATGAGATATTAGGAAGAAATTCTTCCCCATGAGGGTGGTGAAACACTGGCCCAGGTTGCCTAGGGAAGGCAGTGTTCAAGGCCAGGTTGGATGGA